CCAATCTCTCAATCTATGATGCTCTAATATCTCCCCCTTTGCTGTCAAGAAGTTCCAACAGACCGAACCCCTGAACTGAATTGATTTTCAGTTATTTATAAGGGATTAAGGGGTGTAACCACCTCCTTAATTCGCTCCTAAGTGGGGCTAATGGGATGTAACTGCCCCCTTAAATCACTCCTGAGTGGAGTTGTGATCCCCTCAGATCGTGAGAAACGGTTTTGAAACCGTTCAACTCGTGTTTGAATGAGTCAAACGCAAATCCTGCATTCTGGAATGAAATCTGCGTTTGAACGCAACGTCTGGAGGCTCAGACGCAGCGTCTTGTTGGAAGCTGCGTTGGCAGTTTGCTGGAAGCTGCGTTTGCGACCGAACATGAGCTGCGTTGGCAGCCGAATCTGAGCTCCGTTTGCAGCTTTTGGAGCTGCGTTTGCGGCCGAATCTGAGCTGCGTTTGCAGCTTTTGGAGTTGCGTTTGCAGCTTTTGGAGCTGCGTTTGAGCTGCGTTTGAGCTGCGTTCGTGGCTATGAACGCGGCGCATCTTGATGCTGGTACGCGGGGAGGACTTCCACGTCTTGGTTTGAAGAGACCATCGATTTGTATTCTCTTTCTGTCAGAGTGTTGCAAAGATCATCGTTTTGTAATCTTTGCTTTAGCTCTTTGATATGTGAGGGTCGTCAGATTGTAACTCCCGATGTTGATTGTGGAGGCTATTGATTAGAGCTTTCATCAATTGTTGTGAAGGTCGTCAGATTGTAATATTCATCGATCCATGTGAAAGTCTTCAAATTGTAGCCTTCTAGAAGTCGTCAGATTGTAACTTCCATCATCGGTGTTTGATGGGGATCGGCTATCTATTGTGATTTTTAGACAGCCTACAACCACTAACGTGAAGCTTGCTTAAGCCCATAGATGGATTTCTTCAATTTGCAAATCATCTTCTTTGCATCTCCCGATATAAAGTTTTCTGGTTGGACCATATAAATTGTTTCATTAATGTCGCCATTGAGAAACACAGTCTTTACATCCATCTGATGTAGCTCAAGGTCAAAATGTGTCATAAGTGCCATTAATGTCGTGAAAGAGTCTTTCGATGAAACCGAAGAGAAAGTCTCTTTATAGTCAATTCCTTCTTTCTGTGTAAAGCCTTTTAGTGACAAGACGAGCTTTGTACCTCTCCACATCGCCTTTCGGGTCCCTCTTGGTTTTAAATATTCATTTACAACCAATGGGCTTCGCACCTTCAGGCAACTGGACAAGGTCTCAGATGTTATTGTCCTTCATAGACTTTATTTCCTCATTCATGGCATTAATCCACTATTGAGATTTAGAACTTTCCATGGCTTAACGAAAGTTGATTAGATTATCTTCCACCATAACGATATTCTCCTCATGTTCTTGGAGAAATATAATGTAATCATTTGGAACCATATTTCTCATTTCTCTTGTAGATCTTCTTAATGGTATAGGTTCTTGAGGTGGTAGAGTATGTTCTTTTGGGATAATTTCTAGATTGGGAGGTTCTATGACATTATCTTGATTTGGATCTGTTTCTTGAACAATGTTAGGAATAGAAGTTTGATCAATACCAATAACAGCTATAGAAATATTAACATATTCCTCTTTAAAGACAAATTCCTTAACCTTATTTCCTCACAAACTCAACATCCTCAAAGAACCGGATGTTTCCCGTCTTAAATATTGACTTGAAAGTAGGATCATAAAATTTATAACCCCTGGATCTCTCAGAGTAACCAACAAAGTAGCAGCTGACTGTCCTAGAGTCTATTTTCTTTTCATGTGGAATATATGGCCTAGCCTCAGCTGGACATCCCCAAATGTCCAAATGCTTTAGGCTAGGCTTTTTGCTCATCCAAAGTTTATAAGGGGTTTCGGCAGTCACTTTTGTGGGTACTCTATTGAGTATTAAGCTGCAGTTGTTAATGCTTGTTCCTAGAGAGATTATGGTAAGTTGAAATGACTAATCATACTTCTTATCATGTCCTTAAGTGTTATGTTTCGTCTTTCGGCAACACCATTCATGATAGGAGAATCATGCATGGTGTACTGTGGGACGATACCACACTCCTCTAGGAATTTAGCAAATGGTCCCTGACATTGTTCACCTGAACCGTCATACTTGTCGTAATACTCACCACCATGGTCAGATTTGATGTTTTTTATACTTTTGTTGAGTTGGTTCTCAACTTCAGCTTTGTAAGCTTTGAACACATCCAGTGATTGGGACTTTTCATGTATGAGATAAGATAGCCATAACGGGAAAAATCGTCTATGAACGTGATAAAATATCGTTGATCATTCCAAGAAACTATAGGGAATGACCCATAAATATCTATATGTATTAGTTCTAAGACCTCTGTAGCCCTGTTGGCACCAAATCTCCTTATGTTTATTTGTTTCTCCTTTATACAATTAGTACAAATTTTAAAGTTTGTAAAGTCAAGGGGATCCTGAATCTCGTCTGACACAAGTCTCTCAGTTCTCCTTTTGGAGATGTGACCTAATCTCTTATGCCATAACGAAGCGGAAATCTCATTGGTCAATTTTCTCTTTACACGAGTGCTTAATTACAAGGTTTCATGATATGAAGCAACTATATCAAGCAACTGTATCAAGCAAATAAAGGTTATCAGCATAAGATAAAGAACTTGTACCAATCAAATTTAAATTCTGAAAAAGACTAAATTTACCATTTCTAAAAGAATAAAAGTAACCAAATTTGTCCAATACAGGAATATAAATTAAATTCCGTCTAAATGACGATACTACATAAGTCTCTTTCAAATCTAATTAACAGTCGAACTTTAACAATAACCTAAATCGGTGGTACTGTAGCAAAGTTTTTTCAGCTGACACTGTAGCGGTACTGTATCAAATAAAAAGAATCTATTTTTTTTTAAAAATCATGCATATTCATAACATGATGAACAAACCTTAATTTTCAATCAAACATGAATTCTTCTAAATCGGATTCGTAAAATTTAAAATATGATAACCCTATTGAATCCAAAATCATGAAGAATATATAAGAGGAAGAACTACCAAATTTTATTATCAAATTAAACAATTCAAAAGAAAGGTTTTTTAGATTTGAGAACATACAAGAGAATCACATCAGAAATTATAATTGATTCTCAATAGATTAACATGAACACCGCTTTGATACCAATTGTTAGATCAAAAAGATAAACTTTTACTTAAATAGATAAAACACTAATCAATCCCAAGATTATTCATGTCAAACTATTGAGATAATTAAGAAGATGTGTAACTATACCTGAATCCATGAAGTATGATGTGATTCTGAGTTTTGAGATGTAGATCTTCCAAATCTTCTACGTATATATCCTTTTTAGAGAAACCTTAATCCTTCTGAAGATGAAAAATCAAAAAGAGACTCTATGTGGGGATTTTGGAAACCACAACCCTATTTATAACTAAATCAGTTATTCATAATTATCAATCCATCCCATCATAGAATTAATAATTATTATTTGGTTTCTACATACTTTAATTATGCATTAAAAGACCAACCATAAATTAGATCACTTTAATGGGCTAATATTGATTGATAGCACATAATACGTATCTATTTAATATATTGGCCCATATATTGGATTTAAATCCAACAAAGAAAATGACTCAACCCATCGAAATGATATTTATCTTATTGTCCTTTTTCGCTAATTATGACTGTTCTAATTATTGGGCTCTTTCATACAAAACAGAAGAATCGTCTAGTGAGCACATGTTTAAAATTCTCAATGGAACGCAGAAGACCGTACACGTCTTTCTTGTTTCGTGGTCCTCATATTTGTTAATCAGTTTCGAGGTTGCACTGGCGGATTTAGGATTCTGAAAAGTAGTGTCATTATATAATAAATACTTTTAAAAAATAACAATTGTCTCCAACAAAGCTTTTGTATGTTGAAAAAAGTAAATAATCATATCATTAATAACATTATCAAATACATCTTTCTGAAAAATATGTCACTATGGATTCTCAGAGGTTGACTTACAATGTTAGTTTAATTTCAGAAAAAGCCTCCTAGGTTTGGGCTTTTCTTGAATAACCCTCTTAAACTTTCAAACTATCACATAACCCTGCTTAAGTTTTGGGGTTATCAAGAAACCCTTTTCAACTTTTAAAATATTTAAGAAAACCCTAACTTTGTTAACTGCATTTTTCACATGGCTGAGTAAAATTACGCTGGCAAACTTATTTTGCAAGTGACAACTATGTTTCATGCTTTCAGGTTGTTTTTTTTAGAAAACATTGAATCTTAAAGGGGGTCTTCTCAAAACCCTAAAAGTTTGAGAGGTTTCATTAAAATTTAAAATTTAAGGGAAATAATATGACAAACGCCCTAAACTTTGGAGGGGCTTACTGAAATCTACCCTTTCTTAGGTAGGTAGGATGGAATCACGGGATCGAAGGGGGAGAAGCTGGAACTTGGAACGTGGGCTGAAAGTGGGGTCAATTTATTGCCAGGATGACTTTTTAAGAGGGTGAAGTAGGTTCTTGGTCCTCTTGACCGAAGCGGTGTGACACGTGACACCACTTCGGTCAAGCTGGATCCGCCCCTGCCAGGTTGATTTTCGCGTGTCACCGCAAGATGCGCTCTGGTAGGTACACCCTGTATCAAAAACTTAATTTATATTATCTTCAGCCCATCAAAATCCAACTAGCGGCCATTCGAAACTAGGGGCCCATACCTATGCCAACGCTCCCGGTTGCTTGCTTAAAATAGCAAAGGCCCAACCCAACTATAGCGAAACTCATCCAAAAGCGGCCAACACACCTGTTTTCACGCTTCGCCACACCCAACTGCTGGCGCCCGCCTCGCCGAGCCCCCCCGCTCCCCCAATCAATCTTCGGCTCAATGGCGGCTCCATCGCCCGCATCGGCTCGCCAAGAACGCTGAGCCAAACCCTACCTCAAACCCCACCCTCTCTCCTCCCGGCCTTCTCCACATCGTCGCGGAGCCAAATCCCGGTCTCGCACCGCGCGCCGCGGCACGCGTCGAATCGGATCGCGTGAACATGGGACTACAGGGGCCAGACGCCGTATAATTCCCACTGGACAGTGCTGGCCAAAAGATGCGCCGTCGACGCTTACGTGGCCGCCCAACGTCGTCCTTCGCCGGTCAGGTCACTGTCTATGACGGATCCTCAGTTTGGAACGGTTCGGTGCTCCGCGGTGATCTTAACAAGATCACGGTAGGGTTCTGTTCTAATATTCAGGAGCGTTGTGTTGTTCACGCGGCCTGGTCATCGCCTACAGGTAATTTTGATTTCTTCTAACCCTGGATTAACTGATATTTGTTCAAAATATTAGGTTTTGAGATCATTTGAGTTGTTTCTGTGGTCTACTTGATGCTAATTTGCAGATGATTAAGCATCTATTTTTTGATTTGGTTGCCCTTTTAGTCGGACTTGTTTAGCTTGACTCCTTAAGTCTGTATAAGCTCAAAAGCAGGTATTTTCACTGTGGAAAACATTCAAATTAGTTTCACCTGGAAAAACGTAATTGTGCAGAGTTTGAGCTTGTATTTGACATATCATCTGAAATGCGGTCAGATGTTCAGGTTAGTTCTATTGAGTTCATATTTGTTTTTGGGAAATGGTATTGAGTCGTAAAGATAAATGCATCAAACTGAGAAGTTCTTGCGGGTCTGGGATCATTGCGACTGCTTGGTTCATTGGATCTGAATGATCTGTTTCTATCCACTGACGACTCTTCTTATTCTTAAACTTTATATAGAAACGGTCAAGTACTCAAGGTTACCATGAGAGTTACTGGTTGTTAACCCTTTTTCCCACGTAAAGTTGGGTTTAGCTCTAAAAATTACATTGAGCACCGGATGGAAAGAGATTTAAATTCAAGTGGGGAGGTTAAGAGAACTACTTGTTATGGATTGTGAATTTGAGTTTAATACTTCAAGACTAATTTTGTATCGCTCAATGTATGTTGAAGATTTGAAGATCTATAGTTAATCGGCCATTGCAATACTAAAAGGAAAGGGAAATCTTGTTATTGAATTTTGGATGTAGTTTTCACTTACTCAAATTTTGTTGCTTGCTCTAGAGGGGAGAAAGAAGATACATGATGTTGGGAGTTCAGCTAGATAGAAACACTTGTGATGGACTTGCTTTTCCTTGTTGCACTAGAATTTAGGTATTTAATTTTTTAGGGAAACAAAAAGCAATTGCCATAAGTCAACATGCAACCTTTAAAACTACCATGCCTTTCTTTGGACTTGGTGAAATGATGGTTTATAACGATGGTTTATACCATTATGATTTATGTTATTTTGGAAATCTTGATACTAGGTTGAGGAACTCTGCAATACAACAACAACCAAGCCTTTATCCTAAATGCTTGGAGTCGGCTACATGAATCCTATTTTTTTATTCCATTCAGTTACATGCTATTTCCTCCGTTACGTTAGTCTTAATCATATCCTTCTTAATTTCTTCTGATTAAGTTATTCTAGGTCGACTTCTAGATCTCTTAGCCCTATTAACTCTAATATTATCACTTTTCCTAATCGGTGCAATAGAGGGTCTCCTTTGTACATGACCAAACCATCTTAATCTATTCTCTCTCATTGTACATGACCAAACTCTGCAATGCTAGTAGTAAATATAAGACTATAGGAAGATATTTTCATTTAAAACTTGGCTCTTGTAAAGCTGAACGGCAATATAATAGTGGAGTGAGATAATTGCCAGCTCGTCCATGTGTAGAGTATAATTGAGTGATATCATTGACATGAGTTTTCGCATTATGTTGCAATTATAAGTCTTGTTTCACTTACATGAAGTTTGGGAGTTCACAAGGGAAGGAAAGATAAAATAAGGTAAGGGAAGATTGAGAAGGGGAGGGGAATTGCAATTTGTTGTTTGAGAGTTCTTATTGAAGGAAAAGAAAGAGAATATATGTAAAATTGCATGAATAACCTTACATGTTATTAAAACATTTTTTTGGATATAGTTTTCACCTACTAAAATTTTGTTTCTTTCTCTAGAGGGAAGAAAGTAGATACATAATGTTGGGAGTTTAGCTAGATAGAAACACTTGTGATGGACTTGCTTTTCCTTGTTGCACTAGAATTTACGTATTAAATTTTTACGGAAAAGAAGAATTTGCCATAAGTCAACATGCAACTTTTAAAACTCTCATGCCCTTGGACTTGGAGTTTCTTAAGACTTGGCAAAATGATGGTTTCACCGTTATGATCTATGCTATTCTGGAAATCTTGATGCTAGGTTGAGGAACTCTGCAATGCTAGCTGTAAATATAGGAGGATTATTCTCATTTCAAACTCGGCTTTTGTAAAGTTGAATGCCAATATAATAGGATAGTGAGATGATTGTCAGCTTTGTCCATGTATAGATTATAACTGAGTGATATCTTTGACATGATTTTTCTCATTATGTTGCATTTATAAGTCTTGTTTCACTTAAGGTTAGTAAGACACAACCTTATCATCTTAAGGTAGTTGGAAGAAAAAAATCTAAACCAATGAATCACTAGTATAATGTTTTTATTGTAGTGGCAGAATTGCTTAAAGAGATGTTGATATTGACTCATTGAAGGTTTGAATCTCCACTTCCTATAAAGCGAAATTATTGTGGTGTAAAATGTACCCCTAGATTTGAAGAAACTTGTTTTTTGAAGATTATGGATTCTCGACTATGTGGTCTCCAGACAATGAAGTGCAAGTGTTTGCATCACGTTGTTGTCTTTTTCTTGCTTTTCCGATGTTTATTATTTATTATTAGTCTGTAATATATTTATTTATTCTCTGTATGTTTGTTACAAAATTTGAAACATCGACTTCTCATAGTCTAGTGATAGCCTATCCTTTTTCCATTGAGTTAAGTTTCACTACTTTTAGGGCTCCTTCTGTGAAGATTGTACTTATGAGGCAACAGTGCAACACTTCATTGAGGGAAAAAGTTCGTATCCGAATTAATTGGAGGGAAAATATTA